CAAAGTCCCGGAGTCAGGGAACGGGCTCGGTCTCCACCTGCCGGGTGGTGGCGTTGTACATGCCCTGCAGGGAGAGGGGGGCCCCCTGGAGACCATGAATGTGTCTGGAGAGGGAACTCTGCCTTCCTCCTTCAGGACTAAACCAGGACCAGCTGCGGTAGCACACAGTAGTGCAGCACTTGGGGGCTGGATACTGCACGGGAGGCCCGCATTCCTTTCCCAGGCCAACACGGACACACAGGGTGTACACACCTGTAATCCGAGCTGACTGGGAGGCCCGGGTAGAAGGACTGCCAGGCTGTGAGGCTCTTTTGAAAACATCTCTTTGCCTCTCCCATAAAGGAGAAACAACACAACTCTAACTCAATTCCAGTCCAGGATTTCAGCAGCTATTCCTAAAATCACTAGTAGTCGTAGGGGATGGGGAGAGGGAAAGGGGGTTGGGCCTGAAAGGGAACTAGACTGGATTTCTCTTACCACAAATGTCTGTGGGCAACGACATGGGCTAGGGCCAGCTGATGGCATGGTGGTTAAGGCGGCTGGAACATACATGGCCAACTGTGTGGTTCGAGTCTCAGACCTGGCAGATTAAAAAGCATGCCACACACAGCCGGGCACCTATAAGTGTGTGGTGGCAGGAAGGAGAGATGGAGAAGATGGGATTGCAGCGTGACCATGCCCCACGGGGGGTGGGCGGTGACTTCTCACTTTCTCTTCTCTCTCTCTCTCTCTCCAGTAAGCATACATGCCCTCTGGCAAAAAATTAAAAACAAACAAAACCAAAACATGAGCTGGACACTGGATTTACAACCACAAGCATACCTGGCAAGGTCTCTGCTTCCAAGAGATGTAACAGCCACATTAAAAAATAGACAAGAAGGCTGGGTGGGTGGTGACTTCTCACTTTCTCTTCTCTCTCTCTCTCTCTCCAGTAAGCATACATGCCCTCTGGCAAAAAATTAAAAACAAACAAAACCAAAACATGAGCTGGACACTGGATTTACAACCACAAGCATACCTGGCAAGGTCTCTGCTTCCAAGAGATGTAACAGCCACATTAAAAAATAGACAAGAAGGCTAGGACCAGCAGTTAGCATAATGGCTATGTCGCTGGACTCCCATGTAGTTGACCGCGGTTCGAGTCCTGGACCCGGTGGCTTAAACTCACGTTTTTTCCTGCATGCCCAAGATCCCGAGAGGAGAATGGAGGAGAAGGGATTGTGGTGTGGTCATCCCCCCTGGGGGGTGATTTCTTGCTTTTTGTCTCTCTCTCTCTCTCTGCCTGTCTGGCGAGCGCATACGCCCTATAGCAAAAACCTCTCCAAAAAAAAGGAAAAAAAAATAGACAAGAAGGCTAGTCCATTCATGGTAGTTAAGGTGACTGGATCCTACAAGACTGACCATGTGATTCAAGTCCTGGACCCAGGAGCTTGACAAAAATGCTGGGCACATGCGTGCACATACCCAAAATCCCAAGAGGTACATGGAGGAGAAGGAACTGCAGCATGGTCATTCTTCTAGGGATGCTTTCTCTCTTACCCTGTCTCTCTCTGGCAAAAGCACATATCTTGTCCTATAGCAAAGTAAAAAAAGAATAGACAAAAAAGGCTGGCTCCGTGCAGTGCTCAAAAGAAGGACTCTACATAGCAACTGTGGTTCAAATCCCCAGCCCAGTCAGCCTACAAGTGCATGAGTGCTCAACATCCAATGGGCTACAGGGAGGGGACTGTGGCATGACCAGACCCTGCAGAGGGTCCTCTTTTCTCTCTCTTCCTACCCCCCACCACGTGCAGGCACACATGCACTCTGTCGTGAATAAAGAGAAACACAGACAAGGGAACCAGCAGTTAGCATAAGGGCTATGTTGCTGGACTCCCACGTAGTTGACCGCGGTTCGCGTCCCAGACCCAGTGGCTTAAAACTCACGCTGGGTGCGTGTACGTGCGTGCCCAAGATCCCGAGAGGAGAATGGAGGAGAAGGGATTACGGCATGACCATCCCCCCGGGGGGTGATTTCTCGCTTTCTGTCTCTATGTCTCTCTCTGTCTGTCTGGCGAGCGCACGCGCCCTATAGCAAAAACCTCTCCAAAAAAAAAGATAAACATAGACAAGACAGTTCATTCCAATATAGTTAAGTTCTACCTATGTTGTAGTAGGTGTTTGGTAACATTCACTGAGTTTACAAAGATGAGATTTGGAGACTAGAGTCTCCTTGGGGGTGTCGGGAAGGCTTCGGGAGGAAAGGCCATCTATGAGAGACCTGAGCACTTCCACCAGGGAGAAACAGAGAGGGCTGTTCCAGCCGATGTGCAGATTCAGTCAGGGAAGGAAGAGGCCGAGAGGAGCACTCAGGCAGGAAGGGAGCAGGTGCCTCGTGGCCAGGCCAAGGAACTTGAACATCAGCCTGAGGACACCTGGGAGCCACCCACAGGTGTACAACAGGGAAGCAGCTGCTGTGTACAGGGCCAGGGGACAGGCAGAGGGGAAAGAGAACCCAGGATCCCCAAGAGCCCAGAGGCCAAGGCCCTGCAGCCTGGCCCTCACCTGGTACACCGTGGGCAGGACCCAGCCGTTGCTCCTGCAGAGGGTGCAGATCTCGGCCACCTCCCAGGCGGCGTAGTTAGAGAGGCCAAGCTCCACAAACTTGCCCTGCAGTGGGGAGGCAAGGTCAGAACCCAGCACGGCCAGACACCAGGAAGGGGAGAGCTGGGTGGGGACCCAGGGAGTCGGGTCCATTCCCAGCTTCACTCTGGGGCTGGCCTGGTGCCTCCATTCTTGGGCAGCATCAGGAAAGGAGGGAGCGGCTGGCCAGTTCTTGCCACTCAGGGGCCGCCCTCACCTCCTGGTGCAGCTGGTGGCAGGCTCGCAGCGTCTCTTCCACAGGGGTGCCGTGGTCTGGTGCATGTAGGTAGAAGAGGTCCACCCGGGGGCACTGCAGCCTCTTCAGTGACGTCTCCAGCTGGGACCGCAGGCTGTCAGGCTTCAGTGACTTTCCATCCCAAGGGTTGGCCTTGGTGGCAATTTTCACTTTGAGGAGGAATGTCATGGTTAGGGGACTTGTTAGAGCCATTTACTGGCTACTTGACCCTGGCTAAATTACTAAGACTCCTGATTCGTAGCGCCCTAGTCTGTAAAATGAGGGGATAACACTGGAACTGTCCTCACGAGGAGGTCATGGACATGTCTGAAGCTCATCTCTAATTGCTCCCTCTAGTCACCCAACTGCTGGCCCTGCCAGCCCTGCCAGCCCTGCCCTAGAGACCGAGTCTACAGGGCTGCACTGGACACACCCACGTCCATCCTCCAGGAGCCGGTTGGCCTTGGTGGCAATTTTCACTTTGAGGAGGAATGTCATGGTTAGGGGACTTGTTAGAGCCATTTACTGGCTACTTGACCCTGGCTAAATTACTAAGGCTCCTGATTCGTAGCTCCCTAGTCTGTAAAATGAGGGGATAACACTGGAACTGTCCTCACGAGGAGGTCATGGACATGTCTGAAGCTCATCTCTAATTGCTCCCTCTAGTCACCCAACTGCTGGCCCTGCCAGCCCTGCCCTAGAGACCGAGTCTACAGGGATGAACTGGACACACCCACGTCCATCCTCCAGGAGCCCCCAGTCTGGACGGTGATGGTACCACATGGTAAGTGCAGCAAAGAAATGCCTACAGGCTAGAGGTGCCCACACAAGAGTACGAGGGCAACCTGGGAATTCCACGGAAGGCTTTCTCCACGGATGGCCCCCAAGAAGGGTCCCCAAGAATGAGTCTTAGCAACAAGGAAGGGTGGGCAGTGTATTCCAGAGCACGGGAACATAGGCAAAGTCACGGAGGCAAGAAAACCCAGTGAGGCGCCACATCTCCACTGCCTTACAAGAGCAGAGATTCCAGCGCAGGGAGTGGTGGGACGCGAGACAGGACCAGAGAGTGCAGACCTGATCCCAAAGGCTCTCACACCACCCCACTGAACTTGGACTTCCTCGCTCACAGGCTTTGGGAACTAGCCCCCTGTGATCGCTCCAGCTGCAGTACAGAGAGAGAACTCAAGGGGGCAGGCCTGGGAGCGGAGAGACAAGGACTGTAAAGCGACTGTGGCGAGAAATCGGGGTGATGCAGTTATCCGAATGTGAGCCACTGGCAGAAAACAGCTGGATGGAAAGAAGACAAACAGCGCGGAAGGTAACGAGAGCCGCCCTCCTTTCCAGACTCAAGGATGTGTGCACATCTGCTGCAGGGACAGCGTGTTCTGTCCCCCCACCCCATCCCCAGCAGCTTGGAAGGGAGGTAACGTAGCACAACTCCCTCCCCAGTGAAGAACCCCAGCCGTCTGGGATGTGAAAGGAGGATGGGCTCTACGCTCTTCATACTCGACACAGCAGAATCAGCAAGTCAGAGAGGTGACAGATCATTTGGGACTTGGGAGAGTACAAATTCCACAAGTTCTCCAGATTTTCTCCACCACCCTCTCAACCCCATGGCCTCGCAGGCATTCTTTTTTGCTATCGGGCACGTGCACTGGCTGAAGAATTAGAGAGAGAGAGAGAAAGTGAGAAATCAGCCCCTAGGGAGGGTGGCCGTGAAGCAATCCCTTGTGCTGCATTCTCCTCTGGGAATTATGGGCACACGCCCACAATTTTTTGGCATATTCCCAGTGTGTTTTTCTCTTTTTCTTTTCCCTAGGTTTTTGCTACAGGGCATGTGCAGCCAACAAAAAGAGATGGTGAGAGGGAAAGTGAGAAACTGCCTGGATGGCCAGGCCACAATCCCTTCTCCTCCATTCTCTTTCTGGAATTTTGGGCACACATGCACACAAGTCCAGCCTGCGTTTCAAGCTGCCAGATCCAGGATTTGAACTGTATCGACCATGTGGGAGTCCAACTGCTGTCTCCCCCAGAGTGTTTTTTTTTTCCTCAGAGACTTCTTTCTTTTGGGGGGGGAGAGATTTTCACTATAGGGCGCGTGCGCTCGCCAGACAGACAGAGAAAGAGATAGAGACAGAAAGCGAGAAATCACCCCCCAGGGGGGATGGTCACGCTGCAATCACTTCTCCTCCATTCTCCTCTCGGGATATTGGGCACGCACGCACACGCGCCTGGCATGAGTTTTAAGCCACTGGGTCTGGGACGCGAACCGCAATCAACTATGTGGGAGTCCATCGACATAGCCATTACACTAACTGCTGGTTCCCATTCCCAGAGACTTTTGCTATATGGCTTGTGTGCTCGCCAGAGAGACAGAGAGACAGAAAGACAGAAATGCAGACATCACCACTGGGGGTATGGTCACACTGCAATCCCTTCTCCTCCATTCTCCTCCTGGGATTTTGAGCACACCTGCCCAATGTGAGTTTCAAGTCGTTAGGTCCGGGACTCGAACTGTGGTCGGCCATGTGGGAGTCCATCAATGTAACCATTACACCATTGATAGTCCCACCTGAGAGTGTTTTCAAGCCTCGGGCCCAGGACTCTGAACTAGGCAGCTGGCCATGTGGGATTCAGCCACCTTAACCTCTGCACCTCTTACTGCCCTCCCCCCAGCATTTCTGATGTGAACTTTGTGTCAGGTCTAATCTGAGGACTTTGGCTCAGTGAGCCCCTGGCCTCAAAAAAGGAAGCAGGAAAGGGTTGGAGAAGAAAAAATAATTCAGAAACACCATTACCCAAGGGAGGAGGCCAGGTGAAGCAGAGAGTGTGGGCCTGAATACACATTCCCATTCTGATCCTCCAGCTGTGAACCAAAGGGGGGTCGCTCCACAGGGATGAGGAGGCCCCACATGGCAAGGAGGAGGTACAGTGTGGCAGCAATGATTCCAGCTACGGTCTACTGGGCCACGCTGTGTGCCAGGCAGCCTCAGGCAACTCCAGAGGCATCAGGCGGATGATGGCCAGCCCCGCCCACCACCCTCCTCCCAAGCCAGACCTGCCCACCAGCCATCCTCCCACAAGCCACACGGGTTGCATTTCCAAGCCAAAGTCTTTGCACAGCTATGCCCTCAGCCTGTAATGCCCCCTTCTCTCCCACTGCCCCTTTACGGCCAGTTCCAGTGTTCTCTGAACCGTCCCTAGTGCAGCTCTGCCCTCCCAGCCCCCAAAGTGCTCTCTCCTGGACTCCCCAGAAATCATTCTCCAATCTGCCCCATTAGACTCTGTGCTCTCTAGGTGGGTGGGAGGGTGCTGGTCAGTTTTCCAGTAGCCTGAGGAGACAGCCTGGCACAGAGCAGACAGAAAGGCCTTACCACCTCTCTCACACCTTGCACCCACCCACCCCTTCTCCCTCAGCCCAGCCCACGTCGCTGCAGCTCTTCCTGAGACAGGCGGAGGTACTGCCAACTGAACAGGGCAAAGTCTAGGAAGGTTAAAAGACCAGGCTAAGCAAAAGCTGCCCAAGGAGCGCCTAGGTGGTGAGGGCAGGGAGGGGGCACTGGACAGGCGGAGAGCCTGGGCCGGGGCGCATGTTGTGGACACTCAGGCCGGCTGCAAGGCAGGGAGGAAACCGAAGGGCCAGTCCAGGCTCCGGGTGGGACTTCGAGCTGCAGAGCTGCAAGTGCCAAAAGCGAGGGAAAGGATGGGAGTCACGATAAGCACCGTCCAGCTGTCCGGGACTAGATGTGCCCTGGGAGTTTGGGGTTCGGGGCTGCGGGGAACGCTGAGGGAATTGGGCGCTGACCGCCGCCGGTACAGGAGTGGGGTCTGGTCAGCAACCAAGGTAGGAATCAGTTGGACACTGTGCAGGGTGAGGTCAGGGATGACTGTTACCTTTGCAGTCGCCGCTGCCCAGCCCGAGCCCCAGGCCGCCCAGAATGCTCTCGGACTGGCCATCGCTGTACATAAAAGCGGTGTCCAGCTCGCTATGGCCTCGCTCCAGGAAGGCACGCACGGACGCTGCGCTGGCGGGCGCGTCCATACGGCGCCCCATTTCCATGGTTCCCAGCACTGTGGCAGGCAGGGCTGGGGCGCCCGCGGCGGCTCGCAGCGG